AAAGCAAGTGTTTTATTGACTAGGCCATTCCTCCAGTCCCAACTGCATTTGACAGTGTGTCTATGTGAGAAATTGTGGCTATATTTCAGAAACTCAACTAAGACTGAGTGAATGATTAGATACTATGTAACAGCCAGGTGTGGTGTCACATACCTATAGTCCCAGCAGAAGATGGGGCCAACGGCTAGTGAATTTGAGAGCAGTCTAGGGTACATAGCAAGATCCTGTCTCAAAACAAAAACCTACAATGAACTATACAACATACTGTTTATTGGTAGGGAGCGAGGACTGCAAATTAGTCACTCTTTGACAGGCTGATAGTATGGACAGAATTAGTGACCAAAACCACTGGTGAAAGTATAGGCAGTAAGCCAGTAGAGATTGTCAAGGACTACCATTTGTAGATGAGAAATCTCAAGTCATGGAAGTATATGTGTAAGGAGTTGATTGTGTGAAAGAGAATGATCATGAGGCCCAAGAAGTGACTGAAACAGTGAGCTACTTACTGTATGACCACAATCAGGGTATGTGAGAAACGTGGAGGCTATTAAATATACAAATGTATCCATGATAGCTAACTATATGGGGAAAATGATGGTGTGTTTGACCAGGCCATGGGAAACTGACCATAGGAGACTTAAGGAAAGCCTTGTAGCAGTTGTGAATTAGTGACATGGTATTGTAGCAGAAGGGAGTGATGGAAAATGATGGTGAGACTGAATGGGTGAGTGCACCAAGTGTCCAAGAAGCTGTATATATGTGTAACTCTTTGCTGGGTATGGTGGCTCACACCTTCGGTTCTGGCACTCGAGGCTAAAGTAGGAGGATCACCATGAGTTCTAGGCTAGCCTAGCTTCATAATGAGCTTGTAGTCAGCCTAGGCTATAGAGTGAAACACTGTCTCAAAACAAAACACAACCCTGTGAATAAAGGAGTTGACAAGGTGAAAGGTGATCGAGAAGAAATTCACGACTACATGAGGAAGACGTACTGTGTTCTGCCTTTGTGTGTTCAGGTAACAGTCTTCAGAGGTGACTGTAATTCTGTAACAGGCTGGAAATAGGGAATCCTTGGAGATGTGACCTCAGTGGCTTTAAGAGATAAGAGGGAGGAGAAGTGATTTTATATGTGCAAGAAACTTCATGATACTTAGTGGTGACTGTACATCAGTGGTTATATGTGTAAGAAAATGTTAGGCCAAAGGAAATAAATAGTTCCTGTGATGGTAGGACTGCTTATACATGTGGTAAATGGACCTAGTGAGAGAAATTACTGGTGGTATTAACCAAACGAGACAGATGATAACACAAGATGTATGTGTGTGTATGTCTGTGTGTCTCTGTGTCTGTTACTAGGAGACTAATGAAGCTGGGGATCAGTGGCAGAGACAATGACACCCTGAGTGAACCACAGTGTCTGAGAGGTTATGTAATCAAGCACACATAAATATGTATGTAAGCCAAATGTGGTGGTGCAAGCCTGTAATCCTAGCACACAGGAGGTGGAGTCAGGAGTATCAGGTGATCAAGGTCATCATTGGCTATTCACTTCAAGGGCAGTGTGGTCTGCATAACCCTTCTATAAAATGAACACAAAATCACATGTAGGTCAGATGAGATGGCTCAGCGGTTAAGTGAAGTAGCCACACAAGCATGGTAACCTGTTTTCCATCCCCAAAAGCCACATGTTGGAAGGAGAGAACTGGCTGTCAAAAGTCATTCTCTGGCCTAGTAAAATAAAAAGGTGCCAGAAGATGACTCTGTGGGTAAATGTGCTTACCATCAAACCTGACAACCTGAGGCTCTGGGATTCATAATGGTTGGAGGAAAGAACCAACTCCTACAAGTTGTCTTCTAACCTATACACACACAAACGCCAAATAAATAAATGTATTTTTAAGAGCAAGTATGTAAGCCTGTTCCTAAGAGGCTGTGGTAGAGTCTAGAAATCCTGAACTCTGTATATAGGTGAAAAAATAAAACTTGAGAGAAAGTGAATGAGATCAAATGAGGCCATATCTGAGAGATCACAGAATGGATATGCCAAGGCTTCCTCTGTTTGCCCTCTTCCTCCACAAGCCCCTCCTGCTCAGTCTCCTGGGTTAGTTCTTCAAAACCTGAAATGCTGGGATTCACTTGGGCTTTTCCCGGAGCTCCTTCCTCATGCATCATCTCTAGTCGTACCTGGTCCTAGCATTTGAGATAAATGCTAGAAGGTAATGACTACTTTTCTTTAATGTCCCATTAGCACTTACTAGAAATTCAACTTTTATTTCATTTATTCATTGAGTAGATGTTCGTTGTCCATCTACTATTAGCTCATGCCTGTCTGGTGTCCTGAAGACCTAGCAACTAACCAATTAGACAAACATTTCTGCCCTTCTCAACACTCAGGATTCTGAGGCAGCAGGTTTGCCATGAGTTCAAAGTCCCCTTGGGCTTCATAGAAGTACCTTGTTTCAAAACAACAGTAGCATCGAGATATGTGTTACTCAAGCCTGTAATCCCAGTATGCAGGAGGGTTGCATGAGTTCAAGGCTAGACCCTGTGTCATCTGCCTCCCCCTAAAAAAGGAAACTTCCCTTGAGGGGAGATATTCAGGGAAACTGACAGGACAGATAAGTAAATTATATCAGGCAGTAATAAATAAAACCAGACTCTCATTCTTTGTTTAAATAAGGAATCTGTTAAGTAATTTGAATACCTTAGAAGTGGTGTGGGAGAAAAAAAGTGTTGACAACCTTCATCCACAGGGAATCCTATGAGTATTTATGCCATGTAGGAATAAAGGAAACATAGATTATAACACTATTACCAGGATAAAGGGTGATTGAATAATGGAGCCAGGCAGAATCGCAGGTTTGTTTTTACAAGATAATAGCACTGACAGCTGAAGTCTTAGAATTTTAACAAGATCCCTTTGTTCAAGACACACAGTTAGAGACAAACATGTTCTCAGAGAATAGGGCACTTCTATGATAGATACAAATATTAACAGAAATTTTGTCACCCCTGTCTTAGTTAGGATTTCTATTGCTATGATGAAACACCATGACCAAAAAGCAAGTTGAGGAAAAGTTTTATTTGGCTTACACTTCCGAGTTGCTGTTCATCATCAAAGGAAGTCAGAACAGGAACTCAAGTGAGCAGAATCCTGGAGGCAGGAGCTGATGCAGAGGCCAGGGAGGGGTGCTGCTTACTGGCTTGCTCCCCATGGCTTCCTCAGCCGGCTTTCTTATAGAACCCAGGACCACCAGCCCAAGGACCGCACCACCCGCAATGGACTGGACTCTTCCGAATCAATCACTAATTAAGAAAATGCAACTGGATCTTATGGAGTCATTTCCTCAACTGAGGCCCCTTTCTCTCTGGTGACTCTAGCTGTGTCAAGCTGACACACTAAACCAAACAGTACAACCCCCAAATCAAGAGCAGATTCTTGAGGGACTTCTATTATAACCCCTGTCCAATTTATTTTTATCTTGATTCAATTTGTAGAATGGTACTTATCTGTGAGTGCAGGAGAACTAAAGTGTCACCTTTTTCAAGCTCCTTTTTTGTGGATATAAAGACTGTTTTTATTTACTTCTTTATTTTTGTGATGCTGGGGATCAAACCCATGGTCTAGCTCATGCTAGATAGGCAGTCTATTGCTAAGCTACATCCCGAAGGACCGAGAGTGCTGTTTTTAAGAGTTCTAGAATTTCATTCGTTAAGGCTTATTTTTGTTATTTATTTATTTGTTTGTTTGTTTCAAGACAGGGTTTCTCTGTGACTTTGGAGGCTGTCTGGGAAGTAGCTCTTGTAGACCAGGCTGGTCTCAAACTCACAGAGATCCACCTGCCTCTGCCTCCCGAGTGCTGGGATTAAAGGTGTGTGCCACCAACCTCCCCCCTTCCCCCGGCAAGGCTTGTTTTTAAAAAATTAGAAAGTAGGGGCTAGAGAGATGGCTCATAGGTTCAGAGCTCTGGCTGCTCTTTCAGAGGTCCTGAGTTCAATTCCCAGCAACCACATGGTGCCCTCTTCTGGTGTGCAGATATACATGGAAGCAGAATGTGTATACATAATAAAAAAAACAAAATCCTTTAAAAAATTAGAAAGTGAAAAGCAGGTCTGGGGAGCTCAGATTCTCCTTGAGGAAAATGGGTTGAAGATGGATCATTCATTAACAGTGAAACAAGGCACCTGTAAAATTTTTTCTCTAACTATGACCCACCAAGAAAACTAAAGTGGGATCAAGGACCAAAATAGTGTTTCTCAAAGTTCTTCAAACCAGCATCAGTGTCTCCTAGGAGCTTGTTAGAAATGCATTAGTGGATACCCATGCCACACCCGCTGAATGAGAAATACATGGGACCCAGAAATCTGCAGTTCAGTCTCGAAGCCCTGTGAATGATTCTGGTGTGTCCTAAGGCTGGAGAGTGAGTTTTCAGTCAGTGATTTTTATCTGTTCTGTTCTCTATTCTCAGAACCACTCAGACACTCTATAAATGTGGAACAATTTAATACACACAGTCAGGCACTGTTCTAAATATTTTAATTCTCAGTCAGTTACAGATCTAACTATGTCAGGTGCTATAAATGTGCTTTACATTTTCAGAGCTGGGGATCAAACCCAAAGCTGCTTTCATGCTGGGCAAATGGCATACCACTAAGCTAAACATCCAGCCATCCCTTTGCTTGCTTGTTTCTTTTGTTTTTTTGTTTGTTTGTTTGTTTTTTGTTTTTGTTTTTGTTTAGTTTTTAGAAACAGGGTTTCTCTGTGTAGCTTTGGAGCCTATCCTGGTACTCGCTCTGGAGACCAGGCTGACCTCAAACTCACAGAGCTCTGCCTGCCTCTGTGGTTTTGGTTTTTTGACACAGGATTTCTTTGTGTAACAGTCCCGGATGTCCTGGAACTCACTTTGTAGACCAGGCTGGATTTAAAGGTGTGTGCCATCACCACCCAGCTTGCTTGTTTGTTTTTAAAATGGAATTTCACATACCTTAAACCTTGCTGTGTAGCCAACGATAGCCTTGAACTTCTGATCCTCTTGCCTCTACCTCCCAATTGCTAAGACTATACGTACCCATCATTGTGCTCAATTTGTATGACGTTAAGTAACAAACCAAAGGCTTCATCGATGCTAGGCTAGCACTCTACCAACTGAGCTACATCTCTAGCCACTCTCATCCTTTAAACATTTTACTACATTTATTTATTGGGGGGGGGGGACACCACACACATGTGCCTCAATGCACATGTGGAGAGGTCAGAGGACAACTTAAGTGAGTCAGTTATCTCCTCCCATCATGTGTGTCCTAGCAATTTAATTCAGGACATCAGGCTTTGAAGCAAGCACTGAGCTTCACACACTGAGCAATCTCACCTCCACCCTTCCCTTCTTTAAATTTTATTTCTGAGACAGTATCTCACTAAATTAGCCAGCGTAGCCTTGAACTCACACTGTAGCCTAGGCAAGCCTTGAACTCTCATTCTGCTTGTTTCAACCTCCAAAGTAGCTAAGATTACAGTCTTGTACCTCCCAGGGCCCTGTTTGTCTGCACATTTTACAAAAAAGGAAACAGGCTTAGAGGCAAATGGTATCTTATCCTAGGTGCGCATAGAATATGCCTCAGCTGATTCTCTCTTCTCTACCCCTGTAGACCCTAAGGGTTTCTTCAGATGGCCCCCTTGGGCAATGGGTATGCCTGAAACACCTCCACCCCCACCCCACCGAACCCATTTCTGAATCACTTCCCACACAAAGCCACTTCCCTTTCTCACTTCCCTTGCACTGACCTCCCACACACATGCTGACCACAGGAACCTCACTTTTAGGAAAGAGGTGGGTTTTCAAGAAGGAAGATGAAGCAGTTGCCCTGATACCTTCTCCTTGACGGACTACTTGAGGAGGGCTACCCTCATTTCACCCTTCTCCAGTACCCCATTGAAGTTGATCCCATTACTATAGTCAAGATTGTGCATTTTACAGGGAAGAAAACAAGCCAGTCATGGTGTGACATGCCTGTTCAAGGCAATCCAGGTCTGCAAAGCAAATCTCAGGCCTGGTATGTCTACATTATAAAATCTCATCTCAAAAAAGGGGGGGGGGGCAGGAAGCTAAGGCTGAGAATTTAAAGTGACTTGTCTAAGGTCACACACCTAGGTGGTTCTTGCTTCAGAATTTCAGGCTCCAGTGCCCTTCAGTGAGAATTTGTCTCATATGCATTAATTGAAAACTAAGAGGTTTCTGGGTGGAGTGGGGTATTAGGTGGCAAATATTGGGTGACAGAACAGGACCAAGGGAGACACAGGAAATGGAGAGGGGAGAGAAGTAGAGGAGGCAGAGGGCTCAAGGGAGAGGTCAGAGCTAAAGAGGTCATACCCTCCCAGTTCCTCCTGCTCTGGGTTCCTCTTTCCTGAGCAGATCAGCCCAGATTAAGGAAGGCTTACTCTGTAAGAGAGGACAAAGACAGTGCTCAAAATGCTTGCTGGAATGCAAGCTCCTCCGACGCTACTGCTGCTACTGCTTACCCTGCCAGCCACAGGTAAGTGGGTGGGGGCCCAGATGTCCTCCCAGGGATGCCCAGGACAACCACACCCTGATTGTTCATTCCTCTCTCCTGGTCTTACAGGTTCAGACCCTGTGTTCTGCTTCACCAAGTATGAAGAGTCCTCTGGGAAGTGCAAAGGCCTGCTTGGGGGAGATGTCAGCGTGGAAGACTGCTGTCTCAATGCTGCCTATGCCTTCCAGGAGCATGGTGGTGGTCCCTGTCAGGCATGCAGGTTCGGGGGGCACCTGGGCTGAGCCCTGTAATCTAGAACTGTACTCTGTTTCCCTGGACCTTCTAAGAGTACTCAAAACCTTGGCACTATTGCCATTTGGAGCTCTTTGTTAGGAATATGAGTTCTGAGCATTGTTGGGTATTTTATAACATACCTGACCTTCCCCTAAGTGTTTTTAACAACTCTCTCTACTGGTTAACAGTGGGAGTGGGGGTGTGTCTGACTCTTTTCACCTGTTCTTGAGGCCCTTTTTCTCCTACTGGGTTGCCTCGCCCTACCCTGATATGAGGGTTTGTGCCTAGTCTTATTGTATCTTGTTATGCTGTGTTTGGTTGGTATCCCTGGGAGGCCTGCTCCTTTCTGAAGGAAAACAGAGAAGGAGTGAATCTGGGCAGGAGTGGAAAGAGGGGAAACTATAGTTGGAATGTATTGTATGAGAGAAGAATTTTTTTTGTTTTGTTTTGTTTTGTTTTGTTTTTCGAGACAGGGTTTCTCTGTGAGCTTTGGAGCCTATCCTGGCACTCGCTCTGGAGACCAGGCTGGCCTCGAACTCACAGAGATCTGCCTGCCTCTGCCTCCCAAGTGCTGGGATTAAAGGTGTGCGCCACCAACGCCCGGCTGAGAGAAGAATTTTTAAAAAGGCAACCATATCTAGAAACTGCCAAATGTCCGCTGGTGGAGACCAAATCAGCCCTCATTGAAAAGTACTTCATTGAAAAGTCAGGGCTTCCTGAAAATATTGCAGATGGGGTGCAACTTGGATATTTTTGGTGGTAGCTCCATTCTCCTAACTTATAACAGATCATACTTGAGTGCTTATTGTATATAGATCTATCATAGGAATGGAGGACTTTGGGGAACTTCTAAGGGCAACACTCAAACCTTTCATTGTAATGACACATTCATTGTGCAATTCCTCTGTGGCAGTTTGATCTCTGAAAGCACCTCAAGTCTCCTAATCATGACTTCCAGTTTACATATGTTGAACCTTACTATACTGTAGATATATTTTATGACTGCTTACTCCAGGTAACACTGTAAGGATGATGGGTTTGAGTATCTTGGAAAGCAGCTCTGGCCCCAGTCATGCTAACAGTTGGTATCTCTTTTACCACTAGCATGCATACCCAGTCCTGTGCAGGAGGCAAAGCATAGCTCTAGGATGTTTCTGAAGGGGCCTCTGAGCTCCTGTTTACCAAGCACTTTCTGTCTGCCTGCAATTATACAGGGTGGTGACCTATTGGGTTCCTGGCAGAAGTTCTTGGCTTTTAGTTCTTGCATTTGCTTATTGTGTATGGCTTTGTCCCTGGGGGATTTCCAGAGCCCTTGTCATAAAGGGAAATGAAATTTATCATATACTTACTGTATACTCACGTCTTCCTGTTCAATCCCCCACCATCCCTAAGTGGTAAGTAGGCTCTCATTGATCCATCCTGAATATCTACCCAGAAGCCCTCCTATGCCAACCTGTACTCTTTAGAATCCCACGTGCCATCCTGTCAGTTCATACCAGGATGGAACATGGGCTCCTCTCTGTAGGTCCCCACGATGGTCACCATGGTCCTCATGGGCCCCCTGCTCCGTTACATGCTCTGAGGGGTCCCAACTGCGACACAGGCGCTGTGTGGGCAGGGGTGGGCAGTGCTCTGAGAAGGTGGCTCCTAGGACACTTGAGTGGCAGCTACAGGCCTGTGAGGACCAGCCATGCTGTCCAGGTAAGAAAGATCAGCAATGTGGGCATGCACTCTATATTACCCATCCCCCAGGGCCAGAGGCATCAGTGCAGAGGCCTTGAAAAACGCCCTGTGTGCGGCTTTAAGGGTAACTGAGGAGGCTGAGATTGCTGGAGAAGAATGCTTAGAAGTGATGACATTGACTTTAGTCTGAGTGACTTGGATTGTGGGAAGGGGAGAAATTCACTTTGATTGGATTTGGGAAGAGGACAGGCCATATCTGAAGCAAAGGGACAAATATGAAGGCCACTGTCATAGGCCAGATAAGCAATGCTGGTAGACCAGGAATAGGGACAAGAGATAGGAGGACAGAGTTAGCTTATGTGGGACACACATGAAAGGAAGAAATCCTAAGTCCCACCCCACCTCCCATCTCTTTTTCTCCCACAGAAATTGGTGGTTGGTCTGAGTGGGGACCCTGGGGGCCTTGCTCTGTCACCTGCTCCAAAGGAACCCGAACCCGTCAACGACTATGTGATAACCCTGCTCCTAAGTGTGGGGGCCACTGCCCAGAAGAGGCCCAACAATCACAGGCCTGTGACACTCAGAAGGTCTGCCCCAGTGAGTAAAGGCAGCCACAGGACAGAGAAGGGATATCCAGGATGGAACTGTTGGGTTAGAGCAGAAAACTGCCAGGGAGAAAAGACTTGAGCATGCTTGACCACACTTCATCCCTCCACTCCTACCACAGCACATGGGGCCTGGGCAGCCTGGGGCCCCTGGAGCTCCTGCTCAGGATCCTGCCTTGGCGGAACTGAACAACCTAAGGAGACACGAAGCCGCTCGTGTTCTGCACCAGCACCTTCCCATCAGCCCCCTGGGAAACCCTGCCTAGGATCAGCCTATGAGCATCGGGGCTGCAGTGGCCTGCCACCCTGTCCAGGTATGTTGGGATGAGGTCTATGGCACACAGCTAGTGGAGCTTTGGATTTCTGGCAAAGATACTGTGGCATTTGAGGGACTAGAGTTCTTGTAGCATGTGACCAGAAGCCCATCATTTGAAGAGAGTTTGCCTCAAATGTCTAGTGGTGGCAGGGAGGGAAGTTGGGGAGTGCATGATTAAAAGTGCTTTGTGCTTTCTTTGCCACTCCAACAGTGCCTGGTGGCTGGGGACCATGGAGCCCTGTGAGCCCCTGCTCTGTAACCTGTGGCCTGGGCCAGACCCTAGAACGACGGACATGTGACCACCCAGTACCTCGTCATGGGGGCCTCTTCTGTGCTGGTGATGCCACTCGGACCCACATCTGTAACACAGCCACGCCTTGCCCTGGTTAGCAACCCAGTAGGCACCTTTCCCACGCTTAAGCCCCCTGCCCATCAGTGCTGCCCACTGCTGCTGCCAAAGCCTTGTTCCTTCCTCTGTTTCTCTTCTTCCTGCCCTCATGCCTTGGTTCACCTCTGCTTCTTCATCCCCACATCTGTTCACTGCCATGCCCTCCCACCACCTTCATGCCTTTCTCTGAGGCCCTTGACTGGCTCCAAACCCTTTTGCCCCTTGTCTCCACAGTAAATGGGGAGTGGGAAGAGTGGGGAAAATGGAGTCACTGCAGCCGTGTGAACATGAAGTCTATCAGTTGTGAGGAAATCCCGGGCCAGCAGTCACGCACAAGGAGCTGTGGTGGCCGCAAGTTTAATGGACAGAGATGTTCTGGAAATTACCAGCATATTCGACACTGCTATGACATCCATAACTGTTTCTGTGAGTAACCAACCCACAGACAATACTGTAAGAGTGGGCAGCAATGTTAGGGATCCTGTGTTCCTGCAGTCTCCTTTTCCCATTGAGACCTCCAGTTTTGATTATGTGACACTCTATCTCCCCCCCTTTCAGTGAAAGGTACATGGTCACAGTGGAGTTCCTGGGGTCTGTGCACACCACCATGCGGCCCCAACCCCACCCGTGTACGCCAGCGCCTCTGCACACCTTTGCTCCCCAAGTTCTCGTGAGTTGGGGACATTTTTTCCTTGGGGGGGTTCATGATGCTAAAGAATGAGAAGGGATTTGGTTTCACTGAACCTGAACTTCCCTACTGCATCAAAGGTGCCTACCTTGCCAGTCTTCCAACTTAGAGAGGAGGAGAGAAAGAAAGAATAGGCGAGGCAATTAGGGAACACTTCATGGTGTCTGTGCTCCTTGGTTACTAATGCAATCACTCAGCTGTGCACACAATCTTTCATCTGGCCTTCCCCACTGAACTCTTCATTAGCACTTACTAAGTCACCCAGGCCTCTATTCACCCACTCCACATTTCACTGCCCTGAGGTACTCTAAGGCCTTTCTAGCAACAGTTGAAGCTAAAAGAACCCATATCTGCATACAGAATGGAACCAGGTGAGATGAGCTATGATAGAACCCATGTAAAAGTGACAGGTAAGTGGCAATGAGACTGTCACTACCCTCTGGGCCTGGAAAGCTAATCAGACCTTTTGGGGCAGACAAAAATCAGGAGAAGCATTCCTAACATCCAAATTGTGAGCAGGGTCCTGGACAGAGCCAGTTAACCAGCCTTAGTGTTTACTGGACACCACAGTGGCCCAGGGGTTAGAAAGGGTTAAGCTATCCATCCTTTCCTTACACCAGAGAGGTCAAGATTCAGTGGCCTTTTCTCAGCTAGTGAAAGGCCTGTCATTGGAATAGGATCTCCCAGCTAATGGGGGTCACATTGATTCCTGAAGAGGCATTAAAGGCTATGTAGAGAAGAACCAATCAAGAGAATCTAGGTGAAAATGAATAGAGGGCTTGCCTACTAGGAGAAATAATCCTGACAAAAACCTTCCCGGATACATAAGGGTCCATTTACATAAAGGGGGAAAGATAGAGAAAAGAAAAGGGAATGAGGGGGCTGGAGAAATGGCTCAGAGGTTAAGAGCACTGGCTGCTCTTCCAGAGTTCCTGAGTTCAATTCCCAGCAACCACATGGTGGCTCACAACCATCTGTTATGAGATCTGATGCCCTCTTCTGGTGTGCAGATATACATGGAAGCAGAATGTTGTATATTTAATAAATAAATAAAATCTTTATAAAAAAAAGAAAAGGGAATGAGGAAGAGAAGGAGAAAGAATGGTTTGGGATAGGAATTTAAAGTGAGTATAAGGAGAGAGAACAGTATGGAGGTAAGAGTATTCTTTTCGGGGGGGGGGGCATTCAAGACAGGG